CCCCCACCCCAGAAAGCTACAACACCATAATATTAACACTTGACAATAATAATCAACAGTGCATTGGAAAAGAGGAAAACCCCAAACCAAATAACGTGCAAGACAAAACTCTATTATAAGGAAGCAAAATATTTGTGAAAGCACCAGCAGGGTTGGGGCCATATGGATTGTTCCACAGGGCAGGTGCAACCACAGAAAAGACTAATCTCTTAGCTCCTGCAAGGTGACATTGTTTTACAAATGGGACTTGGAGTAAGTCACCTTTCCCAGATCTCACAGGCTAGGCAGAAATAACTAAAGAAAGGTTGCCCCTTAAGTATTCAGATCCTAAGGGTTATAGTTTAAACAGAAGAGGAAAAGAAAAGAGGCAAGACAGTCTTACATGCACACCTGTAGTCTATAGTAACAGAAGAGTGAAATCCATGTTTGGTCAGTTCTGAGGAGAAGTCTTAAGTAGGGTTTAGTGAGGAACCACAAGTTGTTACCTTCTTCTTCAACTTCCTTTCACTCTTCCCTCCCACTCAGTGACTAAGGGCTGCAGCTATGCTTCATCTTCCTGGCCAATCACACTGTTAATTCTTTACTGCCTGCAGCTGTGGTTAGGGCACTCAGCTAGTTACCCATCTAACTCTGAGCTTCAGAGCTTGTTTGGTTAGATAGTTTGCAGTGATACAGTTCCTGGAGGGTGGGGTTCCTGGTAATTAGATGTTTTACATTATCACAGTTTGTCCGGCAGGGAAGTGGAGACTTGATATTAACTGGATGCAGCTGCCAGATCAGCCTGGCCCCTTCTGGGAAGGTGCCCATCTCTGGAAGTGGTTGTTTCTGATTCTGTCCCATCTGCTGGGCCAACTGGTTCATCTTGGTAGCCACTTGGTTACGATACTGGAGCAAAACACTGTCTGTCTGATCAGCAGTTAGCAAAATCACTAGTATGTGAGCAGCCATTGTGCTAATCACTGTGGGCATTGCCTCTCCTCCTATTATAGCGGAAGGAGGGCAATCAGGCTGCCAGGTACCCCAGACCAAGATTTGGCAGTACGTTTCAGTCCTGCAAATTCACATTGCCTAATTTGGCTAAAATTTCTCAGATACATGATATGGCAGAGCTAGATAGCACTCTACTGCAAACTAGAGAAAAGCCACATTGAACAATTGGTTACATTCTATTAGCATGGGGGTACAGTTCCCAAGGCAGTCGAAACCCATTGCTGCTGCTTGCGCTCATTTCAATGGACTTGGCTCCTGCTTGAAGCTGAATGTGATTGCTGTTGGTTGACGCAACTGACATCCACTGACTCTTGACTTATCTCTCACGTGTATCACTCTTTCTGGAATTTTGAACTGAAAATTTGCTTTTGAAATGATTAAGGCCTCCAGTTGCTTCCTCTTGGGATAATGTAGACCTTGCCACAAATTGATGCTACAGTATAAGCCTTTCAGTCATTTGTCTTACAGGCTGGTTAAAAGGATCAGGAATCTTAATAGGTCAGGTCATATGGAAATAATTAAGCATGTTTAGCTAAAGACATGTAATTATTTTTCAGGGCAATGTGTATGCCCAGGGACACACTACTTCTTGTTATATCTGCAGATGGAGCTATAGCAGGAGTAGGTTAATGAATCACAGCCAAGGGCCAAAGATAAAACGCATAATTGAAAACAGCTAAAAAATCATTAAATAAAAGTGGAATAATACAATCAATTGTGACAGCTGAATTAAAAGTATATTACAATTGGGGTAGACCTTTCACCAATTGACAGCTAATTTTCATGGCTGCTGCACAGTATTTTGCTATGATCTGAGTTATGAATGTTTTACAATCTGAAAAAAGGATGAACATGTAAGTAGTGTCAGTTTGCTTAAAGTACTGTTGTAAAAGAGGCAGGATATAAGCATTGCAAATATCTCTGTAGATGGTAAAATAAAATAACACATATTGGGCTGTTTCAGTATTTCCAGTTCCACACGGGCAAACACATTTCTCAAATGGGATTTTAGGGTATCTTCACTGTAATAACGCCAAAGGCACAATATTATGCCTTGCCCAAAAGAAAGCTTTCCTTAGTTTCCATAGATACTTGGCCATTTTCCAAAAACCCTTTATCACCCAAGTCCTATTTCTTTGTGCCTCAAATTCAATGTCATTACATTTTTGGAGAAGTATATATTTGGCACGGTCATAGCTCAAGGTTTGTAGAGATTCTGGTGACAACCCATAAGTCATTAGTTTTTGTTTTATGACATTAAGGGCAGTCAGTGATCATTATTAATGGGAGTAGTCCCGAGGGGAAGAACTGGACCTTCAGCCAATAGTTTAACATCAACCTCCATGCCCTGACCTCAATTTTAGGCATCCCTCTTTCTAGCCTGAGGAGGGCATTGGCGACCCCTCTGAGTTCTGCTAGTACAGATCTTAGAAATTTGTTGAAGCACCTCAAGGGCATTCAGGAAATTGATGTAATTACTTCCTTTTCTATTTCCATTTGCAACCTAGTCCATCTGCAAATGGACTGGCTTGGCTTAAATATGATTATTGGTTTGGCATTTTGGCTTGTTTGTTTTACAGTTTGTTAGTCAACTTACAGAGCTGCTCTCACGATCACCTACAGTAAAATACAGCTGAAAATGAATACAAACAGATTATTATTATTTATTTTTATTTATATATGAACAAAATACATTGTTGAAAGTTGTCTTACAAGTACAGATGGTTCTTGAATAATTTAAACTTAGGCTTTTAATTTGTTTTGTTTTTTGTTTGTTTCTGTTGTTTTAGCCTAGAGAAAGATATGGGTGATGTGTGTCCGGATCAGAAAGATTTTACAAATATCATACGAGATTCTGGATATGATAGTCTCCCCAATAAGCTCAGCATACTAGATAAACTTCTTCATACGCACCCTATCTGGTTACAGCTTGGCTTAAATGATGCTGAAGCAGTGGAAATTCTACGCTCTCAACCTCCTGGAGTAAGAAACAACTTTAATTTGGCCTTGAAAGCAAGAAGAATAAGTTTGCTGGGGCATTGGCTTTCTTTTAGAAACAGACCGCTTCTTTCTTATTCTCACAGACACATTTTATTTGTTTGTTTCTTAAATTTATATCCCACCTTTTCTCCAGAAATTCATAGCACCTTCTCTTCCAATAGGTTGGGCTAAGAGACAGTGACTGGCTTAAAGTCACCCAATAGGCTTCAATGCTGGGGGTCATCTTGAACCTGCTTTCCCCAGTTCCCGTCCAACTCCTTAACCACTCTACCACACACATACATCATAACCTTCTTCATGGTGTCATTTTGGGTCACTAATTTGTGAAGAGTGACAGGATGCCAGTCAGGACAGAAAAGCGTGTGTGATTGCTTTGATCCATGTAACTCTAATATTCATACACATTATGAATCTGCTTTAGATGATGGCAGCTGTGTGACTCACCTAGACAGTACTGCCTACTCTAACTAGCAACAGTTCTGTTAGGAGTCTTTCTTCATCCTTTAACCTAGATAATTTTAGCTGGTGTCTTAACATAAGATTCTGGTAGGTACTCTGTGTTTCTGCATGTGTGCACTTATCCTGCCATAAAGGTATGGACCCTTTGTGGAAGAGGAAGAGATGGGAAGGAGGTTATTGTTGAATGTTCAGAATCTTCTGAGGGCAATTATTAAAATTATTTTATTGGGCCACCACCATATTGAACAGCAACACTTAGGAGTAGTGCTTGTACAGTTTGATGTTTGTGGGGAAGGAAGGCCAATCCTTCTGTATTAATATGGAATTAAGATTAACTCTTGCCCCAGGGCAGCAACTTTAAAAGTCTAATGCCTGCATATTACAAGATCAAATGAGTGAACAGTATGGACAGAATTTGGCAATGCTTTTTGCTATTTACAGGTTCTGGGTAACTAAAAAATACCAATAAATATTAAGCTTCGTAGCTTATTTTGGACCGTCAAGTTATTGGTATCTCTGTTGGAAGTCCTACATGATTACTTGTATGTAAGATGAGACAAAACAGGGTTAATAATTGAGTTTCTTGAAAAACACAGCTACTAAGTCTATTTAACGCCTTGTTTTTTGTAATTTGTTTTTTAAATAGACTTTCCTTGTTAGAAAGTCCACAAGAATGCAGAAGAAAGTCTTATCGTTACGTCTACCGAATGATTTTGGATTTTGTCTCAAAGAGTTTGCAATAAAAGAAAGCATCTATAGTAAGTAGTTTCCAAAAAATGTCTTTCTTTGGCTGACCATAATGAATAGTGTGGAGGTGTGAGCTCATTACCTGGAGTGAGCAGGCATTTTTTCCCCTCCTGGGATCAGGAGCTTTGGTGCTACTTGGGAAGGAGCATTAAAACAGTCCTACCCTCTCCTTAATTGGAGAGTTTGTTTTATAAAAAGGGAACTAAAAGCAAGCATGTGTGTGGGTGTATCAAGAAAGGAGTTTAGTCAGGAAGACAGCAGAGACTCAGGAAAGAGAAACTTCCAAACCAAAGGCAAGCACCACAGCGGTAGTCTTCAGACAGTAAGAGAAAATGTCAGTTCTTGGAGCTACAAGACTGCTGGGAGGCAGAGCTGAGAGATTGGGGAGGAAAAGAGCCCAACTAGAGTCTGCAAGCCTGCAAACCAAACCAAGCCCACTGAGTGCAGCAGCCCAGGTGCAGAGCTCCACAAACCAGCTCCAGAAACAGGATTGTGAGTACCAATAGAGTACCAATACAAACCAGAATGTATGTAGCTCAGGGTTGAACTGTGGAGTGTTTGGGGTTCTTTGAGTCTGGTTGTTTTCTTGCAGACATTAGGTAACATCTTCAGTGCTAGCTGAATGCTCAGAGAATCCCAGGGACTCCACAGGATTGTGAGTGCTGAGAGAAAGTCCATTTGCAAGTCTGCGGAGGAGCAAAAAGGGTTTTCACATGCAAATGGACTGAGACTGGCTACAAAAGCTGAAGACTTGGGGGGGAAAGGAAAGATTTAAAGAGCTAAGAAATAGTTAAGATAAGAAAACATAGTGCTACAAACATAGGAAGAGGAACACAGAAATAGAACATAGAGATAGAAATTATGGCTTACAACTAATTTCTATTCTTATTTAAACTTATAGTAATAGGAAGATAGTAGAATAAGATAGGAGTTTAATTTTGTACAATAAAACAGTGTTGTGTGAGAAAAAACAAATACAGCCTTTGTGTCTGTTCTGTACCATATTAAGAAAAACCCTAACAAATAGAAAATTCATCAAGTGACTGGCTGTGATTTGTGAAAGACTATAGTTGATCTGCACAGCAGGGGGCAGCAAATCAACTGAATTGACTCATCTTAAAATTAATACATAAGTGAACGAAAAGGGCCAGAGCTGACTGGTAATGGGAGGGGGGACCATAAGGAACTTCCAGGGCTATGGATTAGACTGGAAAGTAAAGTAAAATCACAAAAGAAGGCTGTGGCCGAGCAGTTCTGTATTGTGCCAAGATGCAGGAGCATCTCAGGAGCTGAGCTGTACTATTTTGGTTGATTCCTTGACAAATAGCATCCAATATAGACAGTGAGATTTAAACAGTTCAAATTAAGATTCTTGGATTGTTTGTAGCTCAGCTGTCAGTATGTACCATTTTAAAAACATTTCATATTTTTCACTAATTTGTGAAATAACTAAAGAGAGTTGCTACAGAATTTTGGAAAAGAAATACTGGCCACGATGCAAGTCTTTATTAACAAACAGTAGCTTGTGAATTGCAGATTTATTCCTGCACAGAAAGCACATTTTACTGTATTTCTAAGATCATATTTACTGTGCAATTGAGCCTGTTTTTTTTTTTGTTTTTGTTTTTTTACTTTTCAGCTTTTTCCTTGGAAGGCTCTGGGATAAGCTTTGCTGATCTATTTAGGCTCATAGCTTTCTACTGTATTAGCAGGTAATGGTGAATTTTCTTACAATAGCCTTTGTTTAGCCTTTCTTAAACTGTGGTTGCCTTGTAGATGCAAATATCAAGAATCTTAGTCAGAATGAGAAAGAACAACTGCTCTTTTTCACTGATTCAGCTACATTCCCCAATCACTCCCCAATAATTGAGGATGCCTCTCAATAGATTTTAAAGCAAATATGCTTGAATTTAGAGTGTTCCTAGTCTTTTGCCTGTCATTTCATGATGTAACAGAATTCAAATGTTGTGGTAAGGTCCTGTTGACTTCATTCTTTGGGCTGGAATTCGTACATATTAAAGCACTTTGGCTTTTCATTCCTGGAAAGATGATAAATCAAACTTATGATCATTAGCAAAGATAACTCTGCATAAGAATTTTTAGTGCCTTCTGAGTAGACACCTGAATAGAATTCTGAATATCTGAAACGAATGGATGGGCTTTATTGCATTCACTGATCAGTAAAATATACAGTTTTACAATAAAAATTATAGAACCAAATTAAAGTACAGAATTTCCCTAAAATGACAATAAATAAAGATAAGTACTAAGAGTGAGATAATAAGAAAAAAACAGATAAAGGAAACAGGAATTAAAATAGTTATGTGATGTTAGGTTGCCAATCTTAATTTTTATTAAGATTACAAGCCAGTGCCATTGCTTGGCTTCCATAAGTTCAGTATTATAGCATATTAAACATTTTAAAATGTTTACCTAATAAATTTGATGCTCCTTAAGGGTTCTCTCTATTTGGCAGGCAGTTAAATGGAATTTTGCCACTTGCCAGATAATTTGTGGAGTAAATATTTAAAATAAAAATCATTTGCACCACAGGGCTAGCAAAGTTGTGCAAATGTCTGTATGCAGGCGGCAGTGCAGAAGAGCACAGGCAAGAGTTTCTCATGGGCATTCCTTGCATGGGCCAAGTCTTCCTTACATGGAATCTTCTTATATCTGCCCTCAAGGATAACTCATGGGAGAATGGCAAAGTGAGCAAGAGTGAAAACTGTGTGCTGCTTTGGAAGAGTGAGTTGTTTAAATACTAGGCGGCTTATGTGGTAGACACTAAGTGACTAGATACCATGCTTGCTGAAATGCTGCTTTAAACTTCCTGCCTATCCACATTGATTAGTCTCCATCCTAGGTATCTCTTAGGTGATCATATCTCATTTCCAAAAGCTTCAGCAGTGAAAGCTCACATTGTGCCATTTTCTGCTCTACCCTAACTTTCCAGGGTACATGGAAGAATTCTGCCAATATCAGCTGGGCCAAGCCTTCTGGTATGAAATTCAGCTTTAGCCAGACATTACGTATCCTGATCTGGGCCCTAGTTTCAACCATGAGCAGGCCTATCTCCAGGTGGAGTGCTGCCACTTAGAATTTTTTTCTAGAAACCAGAGAAATACAGAAATACCCACAATGGAGGAATGGATTGTAAAGATGACAGAATTAGCAGAAGTGGCAAAACTGACCTGTTTGGTCAGAGATAAAGCAATAAGTACTTTTGTAAAAGACTGGAAACCTTTTATGGACTTTTTGCCGAAAATGGAAAAAAGTGAAATGGTGATGTGTGGATTTGCTGATTGAAAAAGGAGTTGAATATGGGACAGAAGAATCTCTGTAATGTAATTTGAAGGAGGGAGGAGGGATAATAACTTTAATGTAACTGCTGCAAAGAAGATTGGAAGTCGCTTTTTAAAATTTTTTTTCTTTCTTTAACTGTATTGCTTTCTCCACTTTTTCTTTTATCTTTTTTCTCTAACTTTTCTTTATATATTTTCATGTTTATCTTTTATCCATCTAAACGTTTTCAATAAAAATATTTTTTTTAAAAATACTTTTTTTTCCTAGAAACCTTGGGCTCAAGCGGAGTCCTTTGCTTTCCTCTCCCTAATTCTACTGCAAAAAGAAGTTGGGTTAGAAGTTGGGCTACAAAGAGTTTAATGGCAGCTGGAATATATTTGCTCCTTTTGTATGGAAAAATGGCAGGTTTGGCTGCACTGTTCCTTTTAAGAACATCATAATCCTTGCTTTGTTTGCTAAGTGGTGATGCAAACAGGAAAAAGGAATAAGGAACGAAAGACCCTCTTTAGTCCTATTAGGGCCAGTGACAAGAGCACTGCATCATCTGTGTAAAGTCACTCTGGTGCCTGCCTGCCTGCCTGCCTGCCTGCCTGCCTGCCTGCCTGCCTGCCTGCCTGCCTTCCGTGTTCAGTGGGTGGAGTTCTGCTTTTGTCAGGCAATTGGCAATGGAATTTACCTAACAATCGAATAATAAGGGAGCAATGATGCAGCCTTGTTTGACTCCTCTCTTGATAGGGACAGGCTCAAAGAATTGCCCTGCTATATTACATCTTTTTTCAGTTTAGTATTTTCATGCACTTTATACATGAGGGTAAGCAGTTGATCAGTGGACGTACCTTTAAGCTTTCCCCATAGTTTCTTTCTGGAGATACTTTTGAAGGCTTGCTTAGCATCAGTAAATGTAGCATATACGGTTGATTTATCCGCTAAGTGACTCAATCCCAGTCCATGCTGTTTTATAATTTTGCTTTCCCTGAAGCCTGCCTGTTCAAGACCCCTCAGAAATTATTTCCATCCAATCTCTGGAATTCCAGTATAAATGTTTTGCATATAACTTGCTTACAATGTTTAATACTGTATGCTAATTGAGTGAAAACTTTGAGGAAGAAACAATTTCAGTTTTACAGATCTCTTACTGAAGAAAACTTTATCTAGAAATAACATGATACTCATCATGTAGCAGTGTATATGCTGAATCGTGTTAGCAACCTGTGAGGTGACCATATTGGGTGTGTTTGAAACCCATTGGGTGACTAATGCCCAAGTATTGAGTGGGTTTCTCAATTGCAAAATTTGGGTGAACTATACACTTTACAAGTACTGCCAAAAATGTTGATAATTTACCTGATCTTGTAAATTAGCAAGCTTTCTCTCATAAAAATGAAAATGTATGTAGTCAATCTAGTTCCAAGTGTGCAGTACCTATACCCGAGGGTTCAAATCTTTGGTGCAGTCCCCAGAGCCTTCAGAAGTGGTCTTCTAGGTATAGTTTTTAATATGGACAGGAAAAAATTATTAAATGCATGGGGAGTAATCAGTAGCTGTATTCATTCATAAATTCATAAATCAATTGTATTTTACTATTTGGCAGTGGCTCAGCCTGAGCAAAGCCTAGCTTCAAAAGGGCAAACTCAATCTTCAGTCTGAAAAAAGTTTGCACTCTAATCTAGCTGAGGATTATTTAATTGCAGCTCTCCCACGTCTCCATCTAAGTTCTATCCCAGCCCTGGCACCTGAGATCAATTATGTAGGATGGTGGAGACTGACAGTGCCTAGTTGTGGCTGCTCCACCATGCTTGTCAATTATATTTGCCTTGCAGTGATTCACTAAGCTTCCCCAAAAACTTCTGTGGTCTGCACAAATGAAATATTTGTTGCACTCACTGCAACTAAGCCATAATTTAAATGCCTTTAAGATCCTTCTTGAAATCTCCAGTGGAAACCAGTTTCCTGATGTTCAAGTTTGTTTAATTAACGTGCAACCTGATCATCCTACTTGTAAGCCAAAGGGTATCTTAATTGTCAAAATGGAAGATTCTGAACTATTTAATAGACAAGTTTACTCTGAAATATCCAGTAGAGACGTTAAGAGTGAAATAAGAGGAAGTGGTGGCAGAAAATGTTTTTTCTAAGGAAAACCTATGAGATTCTTGACGACATTAAGAGGCAAGATGCAGAAGAGTAAAGCAAGTTAATGCCTTAATTATTTCCAAATAAGGGATGTCCTGCCATTCACCTTGAAGTTACCTCATGCAATTGCAACAGCAACAACAGAGTCTGAACTTGAAGAGGCGGCTCAACTGGGACTGAGTAAGTAAAAGCAGACAATGGAGGGAGGGAAGGGAAGGGAAGGGGAGAGTCAAATTGGACCTGTGGCATCGGGAAAAGATGGTTTAAACCTCTAGTCTCTAATATAGCAGTAGTTTGCCCATGATGCATTCCTTGGCCTTGCCTCTTAACCTACCTTATTTTATTTTTGCATTAATTTATTGAATTTTGTTAATAAAAAAGCAATGGGAAGTTAGCATGCTGCAAATAAAAGCACCAGCCTCAAGCTGTATTTTCAGCTAGACCGATGCAGACATACTTTAGAGAATAACATGTTGTGGTGCAGTGCTTTGTTCAGTTATGAATGTTTTATGATTGGCTGCATTTATTTCGTGAGTGTCCTTAAAATGTTCCCAAAATTCTATATGTACCCAGTGGCCCAAAAATATTGGGTACTTCTGCTTTGAATATTCCCCTGCATGTCACTTTTGTGATTCAACCCCCCCCCCATACAGAAAAAAAAGTAGGAACCAAAGGAGTATCTGTCTGTTTCTCCTCATGAGAGAAGCATGTTCAGAAAGGGGTAATTGCGATTAGGAAAATGGCATGCTGGATGGGGAGGACAGTAGGGATGGGTGGTGCAGAAGGGTTAAAGTTTCTGTCCCAGGTCTGGTACTGTCATGTGGCCTGGAAGCATGTTTTAGCTATTTTTGCTTGAAAAAAAACGAGGTCTCTAAATATTAGTTTGAGTCATAGAAGCAATTCCATAAAAGTTATGGAATTAATCCACAGCATAATTTAAAGCCAAAGGTTCAGTTCTGGCATTGTGACAAACTATTTTTAAGAATAGTTTTTCTACTTCTTGAGTCCATGGGGCCTAGTGTTTATAATTTGGGGATTTATTATATTTGTATCCTGCCTGTCCTTCAAGTAGATCAGAAGAGCATACACAGTCCTCTCCTCCTACTTAGGAAGCAGAATGAGCTTCACATCTGTATTAAAATTTGAACCTGGATACCTTCTCTACCTCCAGTCCTAGTTCTTCTTGCCGCTAGCCATGGTAGCACACAGAAACTTAAAATAAGTATGCATCTCTAAACCTAATTATCTGGAAGCATAAATGGCATAATGTCTGAATTAAGCCACTGAAGAAATGATCACAGAGGATTAGATGTAGAAAGCTGCCTTTTTTAGAACTGCTGTTGTCATTGATGAAGGCAAAGACAGCTTAAATCTTAGAAAGCCTGGCACATTGCATTCAAGGCAAATGCTCCATCTGACAGGGCTTCCAGAAGTAACTCTTCTTCTGTAGTTTTAGGAAACACAGGCAGCTCACTAGAGTTGATGTCAAGCAGCAGCAACAGGTCTGAGTTACAATTAGAAAATATTTGGAACTAATTGATGGGGTTCAGTAGTGCAAAATTATTCTTGAAATGCACTAAGCTTGTGCAGGAGATATCCCTAGTAAATTATACATGTCTGGATGTGAGAGCTTTCTGTTTCCCTTTTTTATCCCAGGATCCAAAAGTCTCGGGCTGATCCTATTAAAAAAAAACCTCTTTGTCTGAGAGCAAATCTTTTTGAGTAGAACATTCTGAGCGCTAGGGGCATAATATTTGCATTCTTTTGCTAACTAAATAATGACTTTCAGATTTTTGGAGCTCTCCAGCTAACAACAAACTGCAAAAATCTTCACCCCTCCAGAAGCCTCTGCCTTCAGACAGCATTTATAAAGGCTCCCAGCAGCTCTGCCTCATAAATGGAGTTCATTCTATAAGAACCAGAACGCCTTCAGAGCTGGAATGCAGCCAGACCAACGGAGCCCTGTGTTTTATTAATCCTCTCTTCTTGAAAGTGCATAGCCAGGATGTTGGTGGAAATCTCAAAAGACCAGGTCCAAAAGCACAAGATGTGAATGGCCCTGAGAGGTCCCGTTCTCCCCCACCCAGGCCTCCCCCACCTTCTATTCATAGTCTCCTTGCACACCCTCAGCTGTCCAGGACTACAAACCAGACCAGTCTGCCAGAAACTGTCAGTCACAGCAAACACTGGAACTTGGATGTGATACAGAAGAGGCCAACTCCTATCCCACCGCCGCGCCTGAAAAAAAAGGCTCTCTCTTTAGAAGCAGAGAGCAATGAGAAGAACTCAGCAGTAAATAAACCCAGCCATAATTTGGTGGATGGCACAGAAGCTGCCAGCATTCCAGGTGGAGCTCCGCCTCAGCAGAACTTGGAGAGCACAAACAGCTTAGCTGCACACTGTGAGTCACAAGTGCAGTGGAATGGAGGCAGGCAAAGACTAAGCAACATGAGCCTGTCCACATCCTCCTCTGACTCTCTGGATTTTGATCGGAGCATGCCGCTCTTTGCCTATGACGGGGATACTAACAGCAGCCTGGAGGAGTTCGAGGGGGAGAGTGACCAGGAAAGCATGGCACCACCCTTGAAGCCCAAGAAAAAAAGGAACGGCTCATTTGTACTTCCCAAAATTGTCAAATCCCAGTTGAGGAAAATGAGTGGAGTCTTCAGTTCCTTCATGACCCCAGAGAAAAGGATGGTCAAGAAAATAGCAGAAATGTCTCAAGACAAGCGTACCTATTTTGGTTGCCTAGTTCAGGACTATATAAGCTTCCTACAGGAGAACAAGGAGTGTCATGTTTCCAGCACGGACATGCTTCAAACTATTCGGCAGTTTATGACCCAAGTGAAGAGCTATTTATCTCAGAGTTCTGAACTGGATCCCCCCATTGAATCGCTGATTCCGGAAGATCAAATAGGTAAGCAGCTGTGTAGTACCTTTCATGGGCAAAAATGTCCTGTTCCTGGGTCTGCACCTTCTGTCTGGTTTTGAAGGTCTGGATCTTGTTAATAACTGAGGTGGCAGCTCCTTCTCTTCCTTAACATCCAGGCTACTTCAAACAGAACATAACCCTCCACTAGACCTGCACTTTGTGCAAAGCCATTTATTTAATGTAACATTGTCAGTGGAATCTTACATAGCAATATAAATGAAAAAATGGTAGTCCTTGCTCCCACACATGCAAATTACATGAGGATGGGAATGGTAAGAGAAACAAGAGGTTATTATTATTAAACTTGGGCTTCAGTTTTCTTTTTGGGAAGGAATACCGCATTCCAGAACTGTAATATTAAGAGAAATTTAATTGTAGAAATACTGATGTGTAAGACCAGGCATCATGGTTGGGAGTAGCAGTTTTTTAGTTATGTTGCAGGATGTATTTATTAATACTATTTGTTTGTTTGTTATTTAAAATGTACGTAGTCTGATGTTCTATTTTTAAAAAATAGCTTATAAAAATGAAACATCAGTAAAAGCAACAATATAATAAATATGCATTTTTTAAAAAGAAACAAACCCTTAAACGGCACCAAACCATATGCCTTTATAGTTCAAAATGTAATGCATGAATGGTAAAATCCCCCAGTTTTTTAAAGAAATCTTAAGATTTTTGCTTTATGTGGAGAGAAATTTTAGAGTTATAATGGATCCCCTAAAATGCCCTAAGCCCACTAACCTGCCAAATGTTGCTAATTGCACTTTGAGTTTCAGATTCAGAGTAAGTTAAGAACAGGTTCTTAAGGTAAGAAGAGACTATGAAAGGGAGATGTTACTTATCTCAGATCTTGTTTGCTTTGTGTTATGTAAGCATTTTATATATTTATGGAAGGATGTGTACCAAAATGCAAATTAGCTTAGTATTTTGTAAGTTTCAGTGGCATCCATTTTGCTTGAAAACTTCCCTCAAGGCAAAAATACTTTCCTTGTAAGCTCATTTCATTGAACTGTTTCCTTCCCCTTCTCACTGATTCAGTATGCTCACAGTGTTGGAAAACTCTCTCGGAATAGTTGTTTCTGGGTTGAAAATTTTGGCCTCCCTTAATTGAATAGCTATTTCCATATGTATGAGTCATATGTTGCCAGTGCAATAACATCCTGTGATTTAAAAAAAATAGTTTCATGATTTTAAATGAAATACTGCATATTGAAATTTTGAAATATGCTTGTGTTTTGCTTGAATGTATAATTTGCATGCCTTGATGTTTACTCCAAAGATGAGAAAGCAATCTGGGCTTTGGTGACCTGTTAAATTGCTACCTTTTTCCTTTGTTAATGCTATTCTGTGTGCGTGAGAGAGAGAGGCAGTGCATTTTAGCTGCATGGGTTTAGTTGAACAATTGATGAGCAAGGCTTAATTTTGCAGAAAGGCTGTTTAAGCAAGCAGAAATTTTGCTTTTGAACAATTTTGCTGCCTTCACCAGTCTTGAGGTTTGCAAATAACCACAACAGAGCAGATGTATCAGATGTTGCTGATTTAGGCAAGAGCTATGTGGCAAATGGATTGAGTCATCTTAGGCAATAAAACAAGGCCAGCCTATTCCATAGACTACAATTCAGTCTCTCAATGGCAATTATGTAGAAAGAGAGGGAAAACTATTCTTACAACTAGATAAATAGTGCATGTTTTCTTTCCAGATGTTCTTATTTGTTATAATTTAACTTCTCTATAGTTCTATCTCCAGACAAGGTGTGCTTCAAATAAACTTTATTCCCAGTTCTGTAGGAAGAATTTAGGATCATAATTTCTGATCAGAGGCCTGTTGCCTCAGTGTTTACAGAAAAAAATGCAGTATAATAATGAAGTAATAGTATTGTTTCATGGTGTGATTTTGAAAGTTCTGTGTGCACATGTGCACCATTTGATCCAACATACTATTTCCAAGAATTCCAAGAAGTATTTTCATGCCAGATATTTCCAGGAAAATTCCAGACAGAACAGTCTTGGCATGCAATTTATTTTGCTTCTAATCACTGAATTCAAAGTTAACTTATTAAAAATTACAATTAAGAAGATAAAAACTAATACATACTGTACTAAAAAAAAATAAAAGAATAAAAAAATAGAAGGTGTAGAAAAGAAAAAAACAGAAAAAATGGAAAAAAAGAAATAAGAATATAGTAAATAAAAAGAAATCTATAAAGAAATGACTTCCCCCTTCATCACAACAAGTATAAACAATTTTAGTAATTTATCATCTTCTCTTAAAATATAACAATGATCTCTTCTTCCCATATCCCATCTCTTATCTATAAGCAAATCCTTAAAGTTTAATCGTTCAGTCCTGATCAGCAAAAGTCCATTAAGGGTTACCAGAGATAACACATCTATTTTAACCATGATCAAATAAACCAAGTGTATATTCCTATTACTTTTAACAATCTTAATCTTTAGTCCCTTCAAA